TTTAATATTTAATATTTTAATAAATTTTAAATAAATATACATCCCTATATTTATTTTAAATTTTACATCCCAGGGGATGTAAAATGGCGTAATAATTTTAGAACACAATTTGGCAGTTTCCTAAAATGTAAAATATTCACCTACCCTGCAACAAAGGCATTGCACTTTTAGATAATAACACAAGAGAAGAGAAAGAATATTTCCACACAAAGACCTATACACTAATGGTTACAGTAGCTCAATTTGTAACAGACAAAAACCAACATGCAACTAATAGAAGAAAAAGTGGGAGTGCCAGAGGAAAGACAGAAACAAGGAGGAAGAGGGACTATTTTTAAGAAATGGCCAAAACTACCCAAATTTGATGACTTTTTTTTTTTGTACCCGCACTACACAGATGTAAAAAGACATAAATATAAACACCCAAGAAGCTCAATGAGCTCCAAGAAGGATGAATTCAAAGAGACTCATGCTGAGACACATTATAATCAAATTGTCAAGACAGAGACATAAAGAAAATACTGAAAGCAGCAAAAAAGAAGTGACTCATTACATTCAAGGGATACTTACTAAGATTATCAGATTTCTCATCAGAAACCTTTGAGGGCAGAAGGCAGAAGGCAGTGGGCTGACATGTTCAAAGTGCTAAAAGAAAAGAACTGACAGCCAAGACTCCTAAATCTGACAAAACTATCCACCAAAACTGAGGGAGAAGTGAAGACATTCCCAATTGAGGGAATGTGTTACCAAGAGAACTGCTCTGCAAGAAATGCTAAAGGGAATCCTTTCAGTTGAAATGAAAGGACACTAGACAATAACTCAGTGCCATGGGAAGAAATAAGGATCTCTAGTAAAGGCAAATACCTGGGAAAATTTTAAAGTTCATATTATTGTAACTTTGGTTTGTACTCCACTTTTTGTTTTTTACGTGATTTAAGAGATGAATGCATTAAAAAATTATTAATCTATGTTTTTGGACACACAATGTATAAAGAGGTAATTTTATGACAGTACTATCTAAAAGTGTTGGGGATGGAGTTGTATAAGATCAGAGTTTTTCTGTGTTATTAATGGTAAGCTGGTAAAAGTTCAAATCAGAGTATTACAAATCTAGGATGTGAAATGTAATCTCTGTGGTAACGACAAAGAAAATCATTATGGAATATACACAAAATGAAATGAGAATGAAATAAAAATGTTTCACATTTGAAAAATCAAACACACAAAATAGAGAGTAATATAGGAAATAAGGGACAAAAAAGCTAAAATCACATAGTAAATAAATAGCAAAATGACTGAAGTAAGTCCCTCCTTATCAGTAATTACTTTAAATATAACTGGATTAAATCCTCAGAGCAAAACACAGTAACTGGCAGAATGGGTTAAAAAACAAACAAATAACAACAACAAAAAACACCCATGATCCAACTATATGCTGTCTACTAAGTTTCATTTTAGATCCAAAGACACAAATAGATTGAAAGTAAAAGAATGGAAAAAGATATTCCATGCAAATAGTAATCAAAAGAAAGCAGGGATAGACATACTGGTACCAAACAAAATGGACCTTAAATCAAAATGAGGTTCCATAAGACAGAGACATTACATATTAAGATTCAAGACAGCAAGGACATATAACAATTATAAGCATTTATATACCTAATAACAGACCATCAAAATATACAAAGCAAAAATGGACAAAATTAACAGAAGAAATAGACAGTTCTACAACAATAGAGATTTCAATGACGCACTCTCAATAATAAAACAATCAGAAGGCCAATAAGGAAACAGAGGACTTGAACAATACAATAAGCCAATTAGATCTAACAGAAAATGTATAGAATACACGATAACAATAGAATATACTTGCACATAGCATATGCTCCAAAATAGACCATGTTAGGCCATAAATTAAGGATCAATAGATTTTAAAAGATATATATCATATAAAATCCCTGATCACAAGAGGATAAAGTTAAGAAAACATGAAAATTCACAAATTTGTAGAAAGTAAATGACACTCTTAAATAATCATTGTATCAAAGAAATCACAAAGGAAATTATAAAATGGAGATAAAAGAAAATGAAAACAATATACAAAAACTTGTAGGATACAACAAAAGCAGTGCCTAAGGAAGAAATTTATAGCTACAAAGATTATATTAAAACAGAAGAAAGATCTCAAATCAAAAATCTAACTTTACAACTTAAAAAAACTTAAGAAAAACTTTATAACTTAAGAACAACAGGCCAGGCGCAGTGGTTCAGGCCTGTAATCCCAGCACTTTAGAAGGCCAAGGCAGGCAGATCATGAGGTCAGGAGTTCGAGACCAGTCTGACCAACATGGTGAAACCCTGTCTCTACTAAAAATACAAAAATTAGCCGGGCGCACCTGTAATCCCAGCTACTCAGGAGGCTGAGGCAGGAGAATCACTTGAACCTGGGAGGTGGAGGTTGCCGTGAGCCAAGATCGTGCCACTGCACTCCAGCCTGGGTGACAGAGCAAGGCTGTCTCAGAAAAAAAAAACAACACTAAGCCAAAAAGCTAGCAGGAAGAAGGAAATAATAAAGATTAGAGCAGAGATAACCAGAGAATATAAAAGCAATAGAGAAATTTTAGTTAGAAATGACTAAAAAACAAAAAGAATATTCAAATTAATAAAATTAGAAATTAAAATGAAGGCACTATGATAGAGTCTATATAAATTTAAAAAATTCCAAGACAGCTATGAACAA